AAAAGTAAAGTTTACATATTGCGACATGTGGTGTTTAATGAAGAACCTTTTCCATTTCAGCTATCGGTTTTAGAGTCAGAATTGCCCCATTTATCACTGTGTGAATATCCTTTTTTGGATGAATGGCTCGATAAAACATCTAAGGAAAGTCTCTTTATGTCAATTGTCCAAACTTCAGAACATTTGACCAATTCCACACAAGAAACATCGGTCCCTTTAATTTCTGACTTTGTTAATTGCTGTGATAATTATTTTGAAATAGGATCTTCTCAAAATAATACCAGAAATTATGCCGAAGATCAGGAGCATAATAATTTTGTTTCTTCTTCCATTTTAGGCATTGAAGACACCTCTTCACTCTCTAAAAATATCACGCCAGCCAGAGATTTTTCAGTTGAATCTTCTTCTGCGTTCACGCCCATTTTAGATTTTCCTTTGCCAACTGAAAATTTACTTACTTGTCAATCTTCATAATTACAAAGAGTTCTGGTCGTTGATCTATCTAATGCCTTTTAAGGTACTACAACTACCTCCGTACAATTAGCTCTAATGCAACCCATGCCAACAGCCGCATACCCCATGCAGACAACTCGTCCAGTATGTGAAATACACCATCCTTCATATTTACTTGATTATGCTACAATTGAAACTACTGCCAATTTAGATCTCATACTTGATCGAGCTTCTTTGGAGCCCAAGACCTTGAAGACAATTCTAAAAGATGGTCATTGGATTAATACAATGAAAGATAAGATTAAAGCTCTTCATAACAATGAAACATGTGAACTCTTTCCCCGACCCTCTGACATCAATATTGTGGGCTCAAAATGGGTGTATAGAATTAAATACAAAGAAGATGGCATTATTGCTCATAACAAGGCTTGTTTAGTCCCTAAAGGCTTTACTCAAGTCTCAGGAGTGGACCATGATGAAACTTTTAGCCCGGTTGTAAAACCAACTATCATACACCTTATCATAACCCTTTAGAGCATCTCTAATGGTAAAATGCTAAATTTGGATGCCAAATCTATATTTTGACAGTGCTACAATGTCAAAATGCTACATTTTAGTAATTCTGCTCCAATGATGTATTTTATGCAAAATGTTATTTTTTGACACAACCACTATTCTTTTTCAAGTACCATTCTCACCATTCATATTTGAATCAGTAATGTTAATATTAGGCACATTCCAAGTCAAGTTGTAGACATTAGAAGGAAACTAAAATTAAACTTAATTAAAAAATATATATATATCTAAAATATCTGGTCAAAAAAAGACCCAAATATATATATATATGTGTGTGTGTGTGTGTGTGTGTGTGTGTGTGTGTGTGTGTGTAAATTTATATATTTGATTATATTATTATTAAAAGTAGATATATATTTAGGGCAAATCATTTCAGCCTCCCCAATCGCCTCCATCTATATTCTCGTTCTCAACTCTGAAATTGCCCCCCTCTCTGCAACTGCAAACTACAAAATCAACAAGAATCAGAAGTTCAAAGCCCATATCTTTCAGTTTCCATAGCCCGCTGTTCCAGTTCGGGTTCACCGTTCGTAAGCTTCAACCGTTTTCTCTCAACTCTCAAACTTGTCCCCCTCTCTCTCTGCAACTGCTAAATTGTACGTATGGGTTTTATTTTAATATTTTTTTTTTCTAAATCAACTAATCAATGTCTTTAATTCTTATTTTGCAAACTAAATCCTATTTGGTGAAATTTTTTATAATCTTTTTCAATTCCGATCTGAGAAGAAAGAGATATATGTATACACATACACACACACATATATGAGGATGAGAAGGGAAGAGAAAGAGAGAGACGGATAAGATTAAAAGATATAGAAATAGCTGTTGCTATAAGTTTTGCTAGATTTGGCACCAATATAGCAAAGGCAATTTTTAGGAGGTGAAATAGCAGCTCATTGGAGGGCGTAATTTTAACCCACCTGCTATATTTTGAATTGGCAGCCCATATAGCAGGTGGGTTGAAGATGCTCTTATCTCTCGTTCAAATGGCACCTATGGCAACTTGACCTTAAAAACGCCTTCTTGTATGGGAATCTCAAATATAAAGTATATATGGAGCAACCTCTAGGCTTTGTTGATACACACCGACCCAATGATGTGTTGCCTGTTGAAAAAATCTCTCTACGAACTAAAGCAGGCTCTGCATGCTTGGTTTGACTGGCTATCACAATTTATTTTACTCGGCTTTTATTGTAGCAATGCCAACTCTTCACTCTTCATTTATTGCACCAGCCACATAATTACAATTCTCTTAATCTATGTTGATTATGTTTTAATTGCTGGTAATGATAATTAATTCATTTCGGTGCTTATTGAACAGTTTAGCAAAGAATTTGCTATTAAAGATTTAGGCCCGTTGCATTATTTTTTTTTAGCGTGGAGATCAAGCAAGCTCTGCATGCTTCAACGGACACACATGCCGGAAAGTAAATCCATTGCTACACCACAAGCTCTCAAGGTCTCAAGTTCATCCGATAATGTTCCTGTAGAGGCCATTAATTTTAGCAGTATTGTGGGTGCTTTACAATATTTGACGTTCACTAAAGTTAATATTGTTCATGCTGTAAATCGGGCCTGTCAACACTTTAGTCATCCAATAATGGCCAATTTGAAAGTTGTTAAACAGATAGTACGGTATTTAAAGGATATTCATCATTGCAGCCTCCGCTATCTTTCTACAAGTCCTATCTCGTTGTATGGTTTTACCAATGCCGATTGGGCAGGATGTCCAATAACAAGCAGGAGTACAATGGGCTATTGTGTTTTTCTCGGAACAAACTGTATTTTTTGATGTTCCAAGAAGCAACCAACCGTAGCCTGATCTAGTACCGAAGGCAAATATCGATCTATGGCTTTCATGTAGGGATGGCAAATTCCCCATCCCCGTCAGGGCCCCGCCCCGTCCCGTTTATAGTGAGGATGGGGATCCTTTTAGCTGAACGGGGATGGGGATGGGGACAAATTATGAATCCCAGCCGGGGGCAGGGGCGGGGATAGGGTAAACCCGCTCCGATTAAATGTGAAGTTACTAATATACCCTTACATATAATAATTTATTACTAAATTATATTTATTATATATATGAAAATAAGAAAAAATGTGTTTTTTTAATAAAAAAAAATTATGAGGTCGGGGCCGGGGGCGGGGGCGGGGGCGGGGGCGGGGACGGGGATAAGGTGTCGGGGGCGGGTATGGGGATTCTGGCAAAATTTTAAGCGGGGATGGGGGCGAGGATGGGGAATGAAAAATGCATCGGGGATGGGGATGGGGAATGGAATCCCCGCCCCACCCCGCCTCGTTGCCATCCCTACTTTTGTGGCTACTTAAATCATTTGCTTAACCTTTTCTGTTAAAAGATGTTGGTGTATCTTTAATTAAACCACCTCAATTATTTTGTGATAACATTAATGCCTTACATCTGTCCGTAAATCATATGTTCCATGCTCGGTCTAAACACGTCGAACTTTATCACCACTTTGTTCGTGAAAAAGTTGCTATGAGAACTCTCGTTACTCGATTTATTTCATCTATTTCAGAGTCGGCAGACATCTTCACGAAGTCTCTGTCCAAGGATGTGTTCTCCTGGTTTTGATGGAAGCTGGTGTTCATCCAAATTACCACGCCAGCTTGAGGGGGCATATTGAGGAAAATAAGGAAACTAATTCCCATAATTATAGTAATATAGGTGCAGCTATGAAAGTTAATAACCACAATTTCAAGTTAATGCGTAACCAAGTATTACATCCTTACAATCGTGGACAAGTTTCCAAAAGCAACATCTTTGCCAACTTTCCATTATTTCAGACAACTAACACTTATGATTTATTGTGCAAAAATAACTCCTAAAATCCCTCAATTTGTTTTCTATCATCAATGAAAGACGTTGCAAATAAATTAAATGGATCAATTATACGAAACTTGCTTTGTATTTATATATTAGCATTATTTTGTGCGTCACTTCATCATGTGCCGCGTTGTATGCCATTATATTAATTATACGAAACTTTGTTTACATTTATATATATTCTAAATTAATTTTACATCGCTTATGCAACAACTACATTATGTCACTTATGCAACGACTAACTTTTTATTTTTCTATTACATGATTTAATCCATACACAAAACCAAGACACATAATCTCTTCACATCCATATTCATTTGTACATATGGTAGAATTGTATTGGTTTGGATTTAATTTTTTACCCTAAATTGTGAACTGAATCACTAGTTTCAATAAATTTAATTTGTAACTTAACCGATTTTCCTTCAAAACCAATTCACCGTTTAAATCGGGGTGCTTGCACCACCATTATTAAACTCAATGGCTGCATTGAAGGCGAATATTTACGTATAGGACATTGCATAAACTTCCCATTTACTTTCAATTTATGGCAAGGAATTTTCGAGCAAAAAAATTTGCCATAAAAACTCCCAACTATCCAATTTGTTGAAAAGTGATATTATTATGACGAAAGTGTCTCTTAATATAAATTTTTAAAAATAGTTTCTTTTAATTTACAAATTAAATAAATAACTTATTCCGCATATTGGTGTTAAAATTTTTTAGAAACTTCTTTTAACGGTGCATCCATAAAAAATGAAAATACATTGGAACAATTTTTTAATTTTTTCTTAATTTTTAAATAAAAGAAAAAAAAAAACCTTAAATGAAAATCATTTTAAGAGAATCTAAAATTTACATTAAGGGGGTAATAGGGTGTATGTTTTAAATTTGTTTTTAAAGTTCTATTTTTGTAAATTAAAAAGGAAAAAAATATTAAAAAATAAAAATATTTTTTAATTTACATTAAAATGCATTTTAGTTATTATAACATTACTTTGCAATAAATTAGATACTTAGGGGGTTTTATGTCAACTTTTTTTCTTCACGGAGTTTCTTGCCAAATATTAAAGGTAAAGAGGGATTTTATGCAATTTTCCCTTATATAGAATATATACCTATATATAGCTATATTGTCAAAGAAGAAACCCTAGTGAGTCATCTCTATAACCTGCGACTGCATCCCATTCTCTCTGCCCCAAAGTGGTCTAACAATGGCGACTGCGAGAACTGTGAAGGATGTCTCGCCTCACGAGTTCACGAAGGCCTACTCCGCACACCTTAAGCGATCCGGAAAGGTATTCATTTCCATTCACCTTTCTCGGCTCCGTGCCGTCTAAATCTATGTTTGATCCCCGGGAAAGTAAAAGGGAACTTAGGAAAGACAAAAAAAATTTAATTTTTAGCTTTTATTTTCTGTTGTATTAGTACTAGTCTCTGAAACAAAAGGCTCGTTCCAGAAATAGTTTAGTTTCATCGTCATAATTAATCAAACTCTAAGATCCAAAGTATTGATTCCTTTCTATAATGATTTCGTGCCTTTTTTAAGCTATCAAACGGTGCAGTGGAAGAATTTTTGTTGATGCTATATTGAAAAGATGGCCCTTTTATAGGCGATCCACCTCTGTTTTAACATTTCTTCCCGTTTGTCGATTTTTTTCACGTCTTAGTTTCATTATTATTATTTTTTTAATGTTACGTTTCTGGGATTTATGTTCGTTGGATTTTTTTGAGACCTTTTTGAATGTCCCTTCGTATTTGAATAGTTTTTTGCATATTTCGATGTTGAAGTTTTGGATTGAGTCATTTTAGAGTGGTAGTGATTATTAGTGATTATCTAACAAATGATGTCTAAATCCTTCTGATTTTTGTCATTTTAAGTGAGCCTAAAAACCACCACATAACACTCACTCACAAATTAGTTAATTGGGTGTTATTAAAGCCAATTCCTACATTTTACGTTTTTTGAGTAATTGCAGATTATTTTGTTTTCAACACCATTTTTATTTATTTTATAATCATTGTCATTATCATTATAGTGACACCTTTATATATGGGAACATTCTGAAAATGATATGGTCAGATAAGTCGAGCTTGATTGCACAAGGTTGGAGTTTCTTGTTAGTTCTGGGAGAGAATGGAAGCTATGCTGTTCCACATTACAAACACATTTTGGTTCCCAAATTATAATTGATGGAGGTTTATATTAACAGCAACACCTAGTCATGTGTCAAAAGTGGCAAGCTTTAGACAAATACCGGTCTCGTGGTAAACTTATGTTAAAAAGATGTGTTGTTGTTGCTGTCAGTTCTGAAGTGGCCTCGGGTTTACTTCATGGTGACATAGTCGCAAGCTGTCGTGTTTGTGTTGTGAGCCTAGGAAAGATAGAATTCACCAAGACAGTCTCGTGCTCATAAAATCCTGCTACAATCAGCATGGATATTTAGCTGTTGCTAGTTGAAGCAGTAGACTCTTTTGAAGGCTATATTTTATGACTATTGATCAAAATTAGACTCTTCCATAGTAATTAAGTAGTTTTCTTGGAGCTCCATGCAAGCTGTGAAAAAATTTCTCTTATAAAGTACTTTATACTTATGTGCATTTTTCATTTAAGAGGTGCTCTGATGATCTAAAAATTTGCTTCATTTTTTTCCCCTTTAATTAATTACTATTGCTTCCAAATAGATGGAGCTACCTCATTGGACAGACATTGTCAAGACTGGTAGGTTCAAGGAACTTGCTCCCTATGACCCCGATTGGTATTATATTAGAGCTGGTAAACTCTCTCTCCTCCTCTCTGTATTCCCCCTGCGCTGTGTGTATGAAAAAACATTTGTGTATTCTTGTATGATATGAATGTGATTTTAAGATTTGTATTTAGATATTTCTTAGATGCTGAATCTTTTGCAGCTTCTATGGCAAGGAAAATATACTTGAGGCAGGGTCTAGGTGTAGGTGCTTTTCAGAGGATTTATGGTGGGAGCAAGAGGAATGGAAGTCGTCCACCCCATTTCTGCAAAAGCAGTGGAGCTGTTGCTCGTCACATCCTTCAACAGTTGCAAAAAATAAACATCATTGATATTGATGCTAAGGGGTGAGCTAGTGATTCTTGTATGCCTTTTATTTATATTTATGAGAAGATCTGGTGATGTTACTTGAGTTTCAATATGGAGGAGGTCATGGTAAACCTTATTTCTGTAGTCAAAGATGGAAATAAACTATCTTAGATACATCAGCATCTACTGTAATGTTTTGTCAGCGCGTCACTCCCGTTCATCTCTAAAGTAAGCACCAAATGAGTGGTTCTAAAAATACTTGTATTGGTCATTGCTGGCTGACGTGTTGTCTGTGAAACCTATGTCTCTAAGTTGACAGATATTTGGGCTATGTCTTAGAAATTTACTGCCCTATGATTCAGTATGTTTATTCTCTGTTCTGTTATGTAAGAGGAAGCGCATGCTCCTTGATTGATGATTTTTTTGATCTTTTGGATGCTATTGGTGCTTAGGTCTTTTTTCTTCTTGTATTAGGGATGCGTTCCCCTTTTGAATGCTTTTCTAATATATTTTTTACTTATCAAAAAAAAAAAAAAACTATTTATTTATTTATTTTGAGAGGTTTTGTAAATGCTGTAATGACACTAATTCTTTCTTTAATGTTTCAGTGGGAGAAGAATCACATCTAGTGGCCGGCGTGACCTTGACCAAGTTGCCGGTCGGATTGTGGTTGCCCCTTGATCAGTGAGTTCTGCTACAGCATCCCATTATATTTTAATAAGCTCTAGGTTTTTGTTTTAGTTCGATGGAGAGATGTTGATGCAGAATTTTTGTTAGAACAAATTTTGCTCTCTATTGTTGAGTGTTTCCTTGATGAACATGAGACGGCCGTTGATCAGTTCTTTTTTATATTTTAACTTCAGTCTATTTGGAATCTCCTCATTTAACGTCTGTTACTTGAGAAATAAAACTGTTGCATCAACAAATATCTGTTGGGTTATTTTGATCTATGCTAGCCTTTTAATTTCATGTGAGGTTTTGGAAGCTTGGTTGGAATTGCTGGGAAATGCTAGCAAGCTTATGATTAATTTATGCAAATTTGATGTACACACGTCTAGTTACAAGGTCCTCGATTTCTTGATCAATGTACTAATTCCATTTTCTGGACGTTGGCGCTAAAGGGCATGTTTGTTGTTTCCTTTTAGTGTACAAGGTAAAGTAATATGTTCTTAGTGCTAATCATGGACATTAATTGACTAGATTAAGAACAACTTGAATCACTTAACCTATACGTGCTTGCTCCTGTTCTTGGAGTTTTTGATATATGGTGCTTGTGTTTTACATAATGGAGAGGTATTTGGACTAAAAGTGGAATCCAGAAATGAAACCAGTGGGTGTTTTTGATATATGGTGCTTGTGTTTTACATAATGGAGAGGTTTTTGGACTAAAAGTGGAATCCAGAAATGAAACCAGTGGGTGTTTGGCCATTTTAACACCCCACATTCACCCACCTCCTGCGGATAGCTTTCCTCTGATTCTGCATTTGTGTTTGTGGTGCCTGCTTTTGTTTTACATGCTGCTCTTTACAATGTTTGCTTCCAGGGCAGTGTTGGACTATTGTTTCTTATAATACACTTCGTCAATGGAAATGTACAAATAGCTAAAGGAGCCAAAATTCTCGCGTACACGTACATGTTTAAGAAAAGTACAAACACCTAAATTCTCGCGTTTATTAGGGTTGGGTTTGAATTTAAAATCATTTTCCCTTGATTTGAAACCCCAAATAATCTTGAGCATGAAGAGGAGCGAGGAGAGAGAGTAAACAATGAGAAATTAAATGAATACAAAGCATTCTTTATCAACATCAACAAAATTGCAACTCATTTTTGTCTACTTAATATACAAAAGGGGAGAGGGATATTTGAAAATTCAAGAGAGAAGATTTTCCATTATTTGGTGATTTTACAAAAAATCCATATTTAAAATTTCTTCTCGTCTTCTCGGCCTTTCACACTATATGGAGTGGCTGAAGTCAATTCAACATATGCAACACCACCTGGGTATTCTTCCTGGGGTCAAGGTGAGGGACGCTTCAGGGACCTATTTATGGTTCAAGACAAACACACAAAAGACCTCGTGAGAAATATGCAGGAAAATTTTGATATTCGATTTTAGCTCATTCAATGAAGAAATTTGAGGAAATATTAATAATATATGAATATCGCTTCGTGAGTTGGTAATGCCCAATAAATGAAAATGTATCATCCGTCGAAATTTGTTCCAACTAATTAAACAGAGTAATGCTACAATGTTCAATCGGTTTTTATCAATGATTGCATCAGTCGGTTGTAAAAACCGATTGAATTTGCCTATATAACTCATTAGCATTTTAAGGATGCTGGATTTTGTAAATGAAGCCTACATGTACACACTTACTTTCTAGGGATAAAGGGCCGGTCAAAGTAAGGCATTGGTTGAGCTTTTGGAATGAGCTCCTTTCTCAGTCTCTTTATCTCTTCTTCTTCAGCCAACTACAAGAGCAAAAGATCAACATGTAAATGATGTAATTATATTGGAAATGGCAGGTACTATTGTCTCAAAATCGTAACGTTTTTGCCGCCAAATACCTTCTGTTGTCTTTCCCTTTCCATCCTGTATTCTTTGATGAGGATCATCTTCTCCGCCACCTAAAATACACATGATGCAGAAAACACACGGTAATCAGGGACGGACCCAGAAAAATATATGGTGTGAAAATTGCGTGCAAGATAATTGAAAATGGAAATTTAAAATGTACCTGCTGGTCGAACTCAGCACGCTCTTGAGCCCTGAGATCACTGTGCATCATCAAGTCAATTGGTCTTGTGATTTCTTTAACAGGAGGCTTCATCAAGCACTGAGATACCAAATGAATTTGTGAGCTCAAGCATACATCTAAAGACTGTTAATAAAATTCCCTCGAGTATAAAGATAAGCTCAAGAGGCATTTAAGTAAGGCATGAAATAAAATCATTCAACATGGCATTCAAACATTTCCAATAACATTTCAGTTAGTTCATATGTTATACCAGTTCAAATAAATTCAATTCAGTTTTCATGTGGTTTCCAACATAGTAAACCAACTGAAATCATGAATATTTTTTACATTCCAACACAGCAACACATATAAAAGATTTGAGATAGAACCAAACGCATTTCTTATTTTCCTGAGATAATGGGCTCACCTCTGGCTCATCTGTTGTCCAGGGGAGACCTTGTGCAGTCGGTATCCGTTGTTTCTCTTCCTCCATCATCATTTCCTGTACTTTCTTAACAAATTCCTCCTCCTTGTATCTTCCTCTTTGCTATGGTAAAAATCAAATGCAAAAATTAATGTGATTTCAAGTGAGATGGATCAAAGAGACTATCATCTGAAAACAAAAACTAATTAATTTAAAGTTCACGAAACATTGTTGGGAAAAAAACTATGATTTCCCCAAATTTCAAGCTTCAAAAGAGTGAGGAAAAGAATGTTGAGCTTTTTCTCAGCTGATGTTCTGTTTAAGATAGCAATGAAGACAAGTACTAATTTTCATGACTTGTAGGCTTTAAAGTCAGTCCAGAAAACCTAATAAAATACCAATGAGACAAAATTTTGAATCACTCATTTTGGTCTGGCACTAAAAGTCTAAAAGAAGCAGGACACAGTTAGCAAAGTGAGAACTGTATCATTGCCTCATTGTTGCCTTTGTTTTTTTTTTTTTTTTTCCTTCTTCTTCTTCTTCATAGTTGGTACTCACACACACATGCCTCTACAGAGGCTTGAACCTTTGACCTCCTTTGAGAAGTAATGGTCTGATACCGCTAGGCCACTGAACTGTTGGTCATTGTTAACCTTGTTAACCATCACTTGTATTATTGGATGGCTTACAGATTACTTCAGTATTTTCTGAGTGTTTAAAACTCTTTCTTTCTCCAGATTCTCCAAAAGGTCTAAGTGAGACAGTACTTATGCACAAGTGAAAACTTATGCTCATTGATAACAATCAAAACTTCAGACCTCAGGTATGACTAATGATGGATTTTACATCCTAGGGATGGTAAACAGGAGAATTTTTAATTTCTTTATTATTTCTCAAGTAAATTTGATGTTACCTGATTATTTAATTTTTTGTTTTTAATTTTTTGCCCTCTGTAAAAGTGTATACATAACGAAAAAATCAACTATAAAATGCTAAACACAACAGGATCAAAATATTCATAATGCATGATAGAGTACTTATGCGCACAAGCGAAAACTTATGCTCATTGAGAAGAACCAAAACTTGAGACCTCAATTATGACTAGCGATGAGTTTTATGTCCTGGGGATGGTAAACAGGATAATTTTTCATTTCTTTGTTAGTTTCTCAAGTAAATTTTGATGTTCCCTGAATTTTTTTTGGTCATTGTGAAACTGGATAAATAAAGAAATATCAATTACAAAATGCTAAACATGACAGAGTCGAATATGCATAATGCAAGATAGAGGACCATGAGAGATCAGGCACACTGAGTAAGTCCACAACAAGTAATAATATAATCTCATAGGCAAAAATGAATAATAGGATAACACAAACCTCTGTTTTAAGCTTGAATGGTTTTTGGCAGGTAGCTCTAAGCTGCCTCCTCTTGCAATGCTTTCCACCAAATGTTCCAGATGATTCAGAGCTCTACATTGGGGGAAAAAAAAAAAGGTCATTATCCAAATGAACACACATGGCATATTTCCAGATTGAAAAGAGAATAATAATAATCTTACATTTCGTCGGCTCCTTTGATCACCACCACCAGATGTCCTGCTTGAAATACTAAAATTCGAAAAGAGTCAAAATAAGCCAAATCTAACCCAAACTGAGGAAAATGAAAGAGAGTGAGAGAGAGATTTAAAAATATTATCAAGCAATTTCACCAACCTTCCTTGGCTGTCATCTGACGAAGATGATAAACCTAAACTCTCCGGCGTGAGGAAAAAAACCGGCGGAGAGAATGAAGATGGAGAGACCTGTGTTTCAGGAACCCTAGGCTGCAATTCTGGCAATGCCTTCTCATGATCTTCTGATTGTTGCTCGTGTTCCTGATCTAAGTCCTTCGAGTTCGGTATTGTATGAAGCCTCTCAAAGGCCTTAATCAAATGCATCACTCTTCCAGACCTAGATTCAAGAACACGAGGCATCTTGTCTTCCCTTTGATTAACTTTCCCTTCACACCCATTTGCAATTTCTAGGTTTTGAGTCGATGGGTTCTTCTCTTCCTCTTCTTCAACTTGGGTCTCAGCTCTTTTAGGGTTCTTCGGCTCTTCCGATTCACATTCATCATTAGCACCACCTCGATTCTTGAAAAACCCTTCTTGTGAAGCCCTAAGAATCTCATACGCAACACAGAGACACTTCTCTGAATTGCCACCAACCTTGTCTTCACACTTACACGAGACTGTTGAAGGGTTTGCTTTACCTTTCTTCAAATTCCTCTTTGCCACCACAAACTTTCTTTCCCGAATCTTGTTCCGTGGTGAAGGTGAAGCACTGGGATTAGGGTTTTTCGAGGACGATGTATGGGGTTTTGCTGCAGATTTGATTGCTGGTGAATTCAAGTGTTTCGAACAAGGGCTTGTGATATTGGGATTGAAATTCTCAGAGGGTTTCGAGATTTTGGAAACCTTTGATCGATTTGATTGTGGGTATTTGGAAGGTGTTGCTCCGACGCTGTTTCCGATCAAATCCATCGAGAAGTCACCGGAAAACTGAGAGATGTCAACAGAAATGGATTAAAAGATATGAGAGAGCGAGAGAGAGAGAGACAGAGAGAGAGAGAGCATGAAGGAAAACAGATGTTGAATCTGTGAATTTTATCTTACTTGAAAAATTGACAGTGAAACATACAGAGGAAGAAAATGAACGTTGAACTTTGGATGCTCTTGTAACGGCTAGTTTTAGTGTGCTCGTTATCAGGCGTCTGCAAGTGTTAATTACTTAAAGCCTACCTGAATTATAAAAAAATTGGCATCAACCCCTATACTTTATACTAATTTTTCAGTAGTTAACCATCTTTAAAATATCATTTCTTTTGCTGGACAACCCTTCTATAGGGAAATAAACATTCAAAACATTGATTTGTTTTTCAAAATCCCAATTTATCTTTGATTTATACAGAAATTGCATATTACATTATTACCTCCTGTCTAAGTGGTAATGTGAAATTATAATTATGGGAGTTTGTGCAATTAAACTCAATGACAATTAAGTAATTTTCAAGTTTTTTTGGTGTAAAAAATAGATATTTAGGACACATTTATGATTTAACGGTCAACTTGCAAAATTTCAATAGTTTAGAGTGTGGGAAAAAAAAAATGTTTAGAGTGTAATTTTTATTAAAAAATGGACCTCTCCATCATTTGTCTAAGAGTAATGGATCCCTCCGTATATTCGTGTGCCTAAGAGCAACAACTAAGAAGAACATTTACTATCTCACGTGACACAGAAATAACATTCTTTTTATTCATTTTCTAATGAAAAATATTACATGTGTTTATAAAATATATGGGATTAATCATCAAATTGATAGTTCAACGGGTTTATCTTATTCATTTATTTACATTGACAATAAGTTCACAAGTGTCCCGTAGGAACCCGAACCCTCAACCTTAAGGATGTACCATAGCCCTTGGTGATACGGATCTGTTCCATTACACACACATACAGCATAAGATTTGAATTCAAGAAATTAAAATTCTGCTCTCTAACTAGAAGGAACAAAAACAACGAGTACATAACAGAAAAACAGAACTCCACATAAAAGAGGTAAGCACAATAATGAGAAACTAATGAATATAGGACCTTCATTAGAATAGCACTAGTGTAAATACACGCTTGTGCTGCAATGATATCATCATCATCTGTTCCACCAAAATTGCAACTAAATGGATTGCTTTGTACAAATGAGAAAAGGATATTGGGAAAAAAGGTTTTTCATTATTTGGTAACTCAAATATAAAATCAATGTTTCTAAATTTTCTTCTTGTCTTCCTTCATTGCCTTTCACTGATGGTGTGTGCATATACATTTCATTCCAAGACATGCAACACTTGATCTTCTTATGATGTGAGGTATATATGTGGTGGGATGTCTTTCACTGATACTGTGCATACATGTCATTCCAAGACATGCAGCATTTGATCTTCTTGTGTTGAGGTACATGGAACTTTGGCTCCCTGGGCATGGTAGGATTTTTTTGTGACCTAAAAACAATCCAAAACAAGAATAATAGAACTCATTACGAGTTTTGGTACTCAAAATTAATTTATCCAGTGAAGAAACGTTCTTTTAGGTAGACGTTACCTTCTAGGAATGAACGGCCTGTCAAAATAAGGCATGGGTTGTGCTCTTGGAATAAGCTCCTTTCTCAGCCTCCTTATTTCTTCTTCTTCTGCCAACTGAAGGAGCAAAAGACCAATATGTATATATATTAGTGAAAATACAAGGTAATATTGCCTCAATAGTAACAAGGACTTTTGCGATCATGTACCTTCTGCTGTCGTTCCATTTCCAACCTATATTGTTCGATAAGGCTCATTTTCTCCGCCACCTAAAATGTACAAACAGAAATACAAGTAGAAAGGTAATTAATTCACTCCTATATCAGGTCAGTAACATAAAGATGACCAACTTCAAATGGACAGTGGAATAAATTGTTGAAGTCAGTTTCAGATGTAAGGAAAAAGTATCCTGAAAAGGGTACAACATGGGTCGTCTGAATTTAGCAGTGTCTTCTCATTTTAAATTGCTTCTATGTGAAGTATTTTTAGCATATAGATTTTTGTTTCTTTCTTTCATTCGGTAGAGCCTTATATAGAAAAGTCAAGTCTTCCATTAAGGAGCTCATTAACTCGCCAAAAATTTGATCAATTGTAGAACTTTCTCTCACTGGCCACGTGAGGAATTGGCATATACTTTCAAACGGTTTTGGGCTAGTTTATAAGTGAGTAGAGAATGACGATGAGATGGGATGGAAGCAAGTAGGATGATGGTGATGATTACAAGTGAGTAAAGAATAGGAGCCAAACTAAAGATATACTACGTAAAATAATTTAGAAGAGAAGTTCAAATTGTACCTGATGGTCAAACTCAGCACGCTCCACAGCCCTCAGATCACTGTGCAGCTTCAAATCAATCGGCCTTGTATGTTCTTTAATAGGAGGTTTCACCAAGCACTGAGATACCAGACAACACAAGTAGCAAAAAAACTTGTGAGCCCAAGCATGCATCTAAAGTCTGTTAACACAACTCCCTTTGCGAACTAGGCGTGTTGAAGATGTTAAGGCATGACATATAATTTTTCAATTTAGCATTGGGGCATGTTGAATGACATTTCAATGAGTTCATATAATATGATAGTTCAATAAAGTAACTTCATGTTCCAATAAATTATTTTGTGATCTTTACCTAGATCACATGGAACCCCAGATGAAGGGATGAATATTTGCTACATTCCAAAAATATAATACATGATATTTTTTTTCTTGAAATAGAACCATGCATATAACTAATTAATCTAATATTTCTTTCTTCTCCAATAATATTCTCACCTCTGGCTCATCTGTTGTCCAGGGGAGTCCTTGTGCGATTGGTATCCGTTGCTTCTCCTCCTCCATCAGCATCTGCTCTACTTTCTTAATGAATTCTTCCTCCTTGTTTCTTCCCCTTTGCTACATTAATAATCAATTAAAAAAATTCATGTGATTTGAAGTGAGATGGGAATAAGATAAAACATATGACAGCAATAATTAATTAACCTAGGTTCATGAACATGCATAATTGGAAATATATTATAATTTGAGTGTGTGAGTGTGTTTCTTGCCAATGAAAAAATCATATTATAATTTTCCCCAAATACCAACCTTTGAAACTAACTCAAAAAACAAACAAAAGAATTTGGGTTGTTCTATTTTACATAACCATGAAAACAAGTACAAATTATACATGACTTGAAGGCTTTATAGAAAAACCAAAATAAAACCTAATCAAAGTGCCAATTTTGAATCATTCAGTTTCTTTGAGGGCACTAAAAGAAGCAAGACACAATTAGCTAGGTGAAAACTACTCCATTTCCCTATTCACAATTGTTAAATATACCTTTTCTGTCTTACTGCCACTTTTTCAGCCTAGCAGATTACAAGATCGTTCTATAATCCTATACCCAGCAGGCCAGCATCCAATTTCTGCCTCATCCCATCCCACATCGATGGCCATGAAGACAGATACAATTTATCAACATCTCTAGCCTTAATAGGAAATTAGAAAAACCTAATAAAAATGCAAATTTTGAATCATTCATTTTTTTTAGGGCACTAAAAGAAGCAAGACACAATTACCTAGGTGAAATCAGTACCCCATTCACATTTGTTAAATATTACTTGTCGGTCTTACTGCCACTTTTACAGCCCAGCAGATAACAATATCGTCTGATTATCCTACCCAGCAGGCCAGCACCCAATTTTTGCCCCATCCCATCCCACAAAGATGGCCATGAAGACAGATACAATTTATCAACACCTTGTAGGCTTAATTAGGAAATATGAAAAACCTAAAGAAGTGCTGAAGATATACACCTTTGAATCACTGGTTTTGCTCTGGCATTAAAAGAAGCTAAATACAATTTGCTAGGTTAAAACTACTTTGTTGCCCCATTTTTGCATTTGTTATGTTACTTATGTATCACTTCTATAGTTTACTGCTTATTGCTATCTGTCCAAATGTTTTAAGACATGTTTTTTATTCCAGCAGATTATGCACCCAACCTTTCCCTCATCCCATCCCACATATGGGATGGAGGAGACCACTTTCTTGCCCCATTTTTACCTTTGTTAAATATCACTTGTACGACTACCTGCTTACTTCTATTTATCGGTTTAAGACCTCTTTTTTGGTCCAGCGGATTATAAGGTTACCCCATCCCACACATATGCTGAGGAGACAATTATTTGTTTACAAGTTTAGAGGCTTAGTAAAATATCCAATCTCCTCATTAGATCAAAGCTCTCAGTGTCATCCAAGCTAAAAGCTCACTACGATTTTGAACTGCAGTTATGACAAGAGGGGCTTTACATCCAAGAGAAGAGAAACCGAATATTTCCATTTTCAAACTCCAGTTACGACTTCTGAGGGGTTTTGCATCCAAGAGAAGAAAAACCAATTATTTTTCTTTTTTTTTTTTTTCTTATTTATTCAAGCAAAGTTTGATGATTGACTTGTGAACTCCAGTTATGAAAAGTGGGCTTTGCATCCAAGAGAAGAGAAACCGAATATTTTCCATTTTCAAACTCCAGTTATGACTTGTGAGGGCTTTTGCATCTAAGAGAAGAAAAACCAATTATTTTCCTATTATTTTTCTTATTTATTCAAGCAAAGTTTGATGGTTCCCCTGATATTTTTGCTATCTGTGAAAGTAAATACATAGTGAAAGCAAAGAAGAAAAAAAACAATATACAGATTATAAAATGCTAAACACAGTATCAAATATTCATAGCATGCTCACTGAGTAAGTCCACCACCATAAGCAAAAAACTGTGGAAGTAAATACGTTTCATAGTATTCATACTAATATTCATAGCATGCTCACTGAGTAAGTTTACCATAAGCAATAATATAATTCCACAGGCAAAAATGAAATTAGGATAAACCAAACCTCTGTTCTTAGCTTGAAAGGTTGTTGGCAGGTAGCTTTGAGCTGTCTCCTCTTCCAACGCCTTCCGGCAAAGGTACCAGATGATTCAGAACTCTGCAGTTTAAAATATATATACATAAGATCATCACCTGAATGAACAAATAAGATCAATTTCCAGATCAAAGAAAGAACAGTAACAAAATTCTTACATTTCGTCGGCTCCTCCTACCACCAGCAGAGGTCCTATTTGAAGTATTAAAGCTTCAAAAGAGTCGAACAGGATAAATCAAACACAAAGAAAGGAAATTGGGAAAAACAATGTGTAATTTAGAAAATCAATCAAGGCATTTTCACCAACCTTGCTTGGCTGCTATCTAAAGACGCTGATAAACCTAAACTCTCCGACGTGAGGAAAAAATCCGATGGACAGAATGAAGATGAGGAAACCTGTGTTTCAGGAACCCTAGGCTGCAATCCTGGCAATGCCCATTCCATTGCCTTCTTACGATCCTCTAATTGCTTCTCATCTTTCTGATCAGAGTCCTTCGAGATTGGAATTGTAAGAAGCTTCTCAAAGGCCTTAACCAAATGCATCACTCTTCCAGACCCTGGTTCAGGCACATTCTCTCTCGCTTCTTCCAACAACTTGTCTCTCCTTCTCTTGATAGTCGAATTACCCGTTTCCCCTGATTGCTCGGTCTCATCTGGGTCACAGTCATCCAACCCATTCGTCGCAGAACAACCAACTTCCTTTGATTCCCCTTCACAACCATTTGCAATTTTAGGGTTTTGAATCACAGGTTTCTCTTCTTCTAGTTCAACTAGGGTTTCAGCTCTTTCAGAGTTCTTCAAGTGTTCTGATTCAAATCGATCATCGGTGCCACCCCGATTCTTGAAGAAGTCTTCTTGAGAAGCCCTAAGATTCTCATAAGCAACACAGAGGCACTTCTGTGACTTGCCACCAACCCTGTCTTTACACTTACATACGACTGCTGAAGGGTTTATATTCTCTTTCTTCAAGTTCTTTTTCGCCACCACGAACCGCCTTTCGCGAATCTGGTTCCGTTGTGAAGGTGAGGCAATCTTCGGATTAGGGTTTTTCAAGGTTGATTTCTGGGATTTTGTTGCAGATTTGATTGCCGGTGATTTGCAAAGTTTCAACCCAGGGCTTGTAATATTAGGATTTGAATTCTCTGAAATCTTTAATCGATTTGATTTTGGATCTTTCGCAGGTGTCAATGATCCGCCATTCTCACTATTCGAATCCATCGGGAGGTCACCGGAAAAACAATGTGTGTCACCGGAAATGGATTGGAAAAGAGGATTTAGAGAGAGAGAAAGAGAGGGAGGAGAGAGAAGAGCGGGGGGGGGGGGGGGGGGGGGGGGGGGGGTTGGGTTTACGATCGACGTTGTTTGGTGAATCTTTACCGAAGCATTGGAAGAGAAATATGGTTTTGATAGGAAGGGAAAAAGGGAACGTTGAGAGAAGAGCTCTAAGACGCTCTTTGTAACGGCTAGTTTTGTGGCCCTATTTTGAGAGCGTTGGATTAATAATTCAAATTTCTGTTCTGATTCTGGACCGTTGGATTCTAGTGATTAAGGAGATGGGGGTTGATAAGAATTTGATTAACAACCGAAAAAACTCCCCAATTTATCAGGAAACTGAAAAAATAATAATTGAAATTGAAACACTCATAATTGAGAATTTGACAAAGACCATAATTATCAACAAAAAAAAAAAAAAAAAATGCATTTACCACTCTCTCCCCTTCACGGAATTAAATCACTATTGACCATTAGCCCATTAACAATAACTCCCCAACTGTTCATCATAAGAAAATAAATGTGAGATATAATGCAGTTCTTATTAGTTTCTAAAGAGAAAAAACACAAATTTCAACAAATTTTGTGTTAAATTTATTTATTTTGGCTCGATTGTTCTTTTCATATTTTTATTCTTATTTACTAGCGAGACTCTCTTATATTTTGTTTCTGAATAAGAGCTTCACACATTTTATTTATATTTGGCTACACTAATTTTCTCCCCATTACCTTCAACTATTCTACTTCTTAATGCAAAAGTGGCACAAACTACAAGTTAATTCATCCACATCACTAATTCATTTCACAATCTTACTTGAGCACAAAAAATAAAAAATAAAATAAAATAAAAAGAAGACTACTAGTGATCAACTCATCAATAGTTGTATCTTAATAACCAATATTGTTAATAAGTTATAGCTAAGGAAAGATAGTAGAATAAATTTTTTAATCAATCATCCACGTACACAATCACTTTCAAATTACACATCAACCTAACCACGTGTACCGATCTTAATAGCACAATTTACAATTACATAAAAATTATTTATAAAAATAATTATATAACTTTTGAAAGTTGGATACATTCAAGTCAATTTATGTAAATTGCCCCACTCACATAAAACAATCGGATTTGTCCAACTTTAGAATCACATTGTCATTTTCCTATTTCTAATCACATGCTCATCCATTATCACAAATTAAACCATTTTAATCCCTAAGAAGTTTATCCCAAATTAAATTGGAGTTTCAATCAAATTGGGCCTATGTTAGCTGGGCCCCAACACAACCAAGCCCAACGAATGGATCCAACAAACCACTGCCCCGAACAGCCTACTCTCTCCGCACAACAAACAAACCTCCCATTTATTTTATTTATATATATATATATATATATATATATATATATATATATTTTTTTTTTTTTTTTTTTGCGGTAAATAAAAACAACAAACAAACCATCCTTATTACCCCCAAATTTCCCATTTTCTCTCCAATTTTCCCTCGAACCAAACAGCCCCAAACCACCATGATCTCCGCGGCAAAATCATTGATCCAAACCCTCAAACGCTACATGAAGGCGCCATGGGACATCACCGGCCCACAAGCCCACCCGGAGTACAGGACCTCCGTCCCCGGCGCCACCGAGTACCGTGTCTTCTGCCCCGCCACTGTCCCCGCCAAAGCCATCGTCCCCAGCTCCGACCCTGAAACCGTCTACGACATCAAGTACTACACTCGCGACCAGCGTCGCAACCGCCCGCCGATCCGCCGAACGATCTTGAAGAAGGCCGACGTGGAGAAGATGATGAAGGAGCAGACCTTCGACGTCAATGATTTTCCTAGGGTTTATTTGACCGCGGCGGTTGAAGAGGACTTGGATGCCATAGGCGGAGGGTACACGAAGTAAAGGTTAACAATTTGATCTCCCTATCTCTGGATTATCAAGTTTGTAGTGTCTTTTGTTGAATTTTTTTGAATTTTCTGTTCTTGTGCGTTTTCTGGATTGTTATGGTGATTAGAGTTTGATTTGGTGGTGTTTTTCATAGAGCCGACTAAAGAACCATGTTTTATTTGGGGGATAAGTGATAATTCGACTTGCACTGGTTTCATGAATAGGGTTGTGAGCTACTTATCAAAAAAAAATGAATAGGGTTGTGAGCTAAAAAATCTCTTTGAATAAAAATATGAGAACATGTTATACCTCATTCATCATTGATAACGTGTGTAGCTCAATAGTAGATTGCTTCATTTCTTTGTGGTAATGGATGATGGTTTGAATTTTATAATTAAAGGCAAAGAACAATCACTCCTTTATGGTAATGAATGAAGTTACATAATTTAGTTTTAATTCCGCAATTTGCCAATTATCCTTAGCTTGTTGAGGGAGCTAGCATGGTACTGTTGTTTGTGGTCAATTGCGAGGTAATGGAGTTAAAGAAGAAGGAAAGTTGCATGAACTTTCATTTCCCAACCAGATTAAGCTAATTGCTTTGATCACTAATAGGGTAAAAAACAGAGCATTGTGATAGAAGGCACAAATGGTGAAGTTTTCATGGTTAGAACAATATATTAGTAGCCTTATTAAAGGCCAAGGCGCACTGAGGCGCTAGAGGTCCTTTGGAGGCGTGCAACTGAGTGAAGTGAGGCGCACGATTAAAAATTTACACCAGCATAAAAATATTCGTATCTCATAAGCCATATCAATATTCTAAAAATTAATATCAAATATAAAAAGTATCCATCAACTATAAAAGCATCCAACAACCATAAAATAGAGCACAAATTTGTTTTCTTGAAAGGCAAAGTATAATTTGTTTTTTTGAATGGCAAAACAGAGCACAAAAAGAAATAAATCTGTTAGTCGTTAACAAGAAAAGAAACGAAAAGAAAAAATAGAGCCAAAAAAAAAAAAAAATTGCACTAGATGAAGAGAGAGAAGTAGACGAGAAGAGAGAGAAAGTGTTAAAGAAAAAAAAGGAGAAAAAATAGAGACAAAAAAAAAAAAAAAGGACGGAGAGAAGAGAACTACACGAAGAGAGAAATTTAAACAAAGATAAGAAGAGAGGAGAAGAGGAGGAGAGAGAAGTAGAGGAAAAGAGGGAGAAGAAAAAGAAAGAACTGACATGGCTTCACCGTTCGTCTCTGCAACTAGGGCTTCATCATTCGTCTCACAACCCCACTCTTTCTTTGTTCAGTTGACACTTTGACTCTTGCACTTTCTTATTTGTTTATTCCTTCAAACAAAAGTTTTTTCTCACGTACGCTTGGGCTTTCTTATTTTTTTATCAAGTTACCAAAAGTAACTTTTTTGGCTTAAGAAATAGAATAATCATATTTAAAAAATAATAAAATCAGTGAGGCGCGCCTGACAAACAAGACGAGGCGTGCGCCTAGTAAACTCAGTGAGCCTGGGATGAAAACAGGCGCTAGACCTGTGCCTCGAGCCTAGGTGCACTTTTAACAACTCTGTATATTATTAGGCTGCATTCGGATTGCCTTTGGCCGCTGGATCTGGATTCTGGTTTCCTAAAGTTCTTGAAAAAAAAAAAAAAAAAAAAAAAAAAAAAAGGTTTCTCCAGCTTCATAGTACTTTATTGTCATTGCATTAGGTGATTTTGGATTTGTTTAGACCCTTAGAAGTGAAATTCTGTTCGACCATATAGCTATAAACAAACTAAGTTGAGGTGAGTATTAGAGTGTTTAAGCTCGGTCTGCTAAATGTTGACAAGCGTGGGATGAGTCCTATGCTTTCAATTCCATTCTTTGTCTTCCTAATCACAGTATTCTTGCTCAACCCAACATGCATTTTAGAGTGCCATGCTGGGGCTATAGGGGCACCACACTCAACTTTCTTCTGCCAGACTGTTGCAGTAATTGGACTTGACGACATGATGGGGTGTACTAGTTCAAGATCAGTTTGAATGTGGTATGAGCATGGGATTTTAGTCGAGCTTAATTACTATGTTTAACCTTGGTTTATTAATATTTCGCCTATATGTTCACCAGCTATATCACCTTGTTGGATAAGCTATTTAATGCTTTATTTTTACGTTAAAAATTTATCACTGTTTAATACATTGATGCAGATTAGTTATCATAACATCAAATATCCAAAAGATTCTTGAATGACTTTTTCTGAAAATCATTGGATTTATATTACTACAACAATTACCTTTAATGTTCTATTTTATGTAAGAATATAACGTTCATGAGGCACTTCAATATTATGACTAATATGACATTTTTATCATCTATCCATGAACCTATTGACCGAGTGGGGCTTGGTTTGGGTCAAGCTTGTTCTGTTAAGGAACAAACTTGGAACATTAGTTCATGTTTGATATATTTATAAGTGGCCCAAGTTGTTCATGAGCACTTGGTTTGTTTGCAGAATCATATCTCCACAATCTGAGGTTCTTTGCAATATTTTAAAGGGTTAAGTTAGTATACTTTTACCCATTGCTTTCCTCCCTTTTAAAGGATGTTTTCTTCCTTCTTTGATTTTGGTTCTCTCTAATAAAATTTTCTATTGTGGAACATTAAGTCAATTATTTTTGTGGATATTTCTCATCTGAATTAATCACTGGTTGTATTTATACAAGGATGGACTTCTTTGGCTTTGTCTGTGCAGTTTGTTTTAGTCATACTTATTTAAGCATGTGGTCATTATAGAACCATTCTCCTTATGAGTTACGGAGTATTAAAGATGGAAGACGTTTTCACTTCTTGGAGATAAAAGAACAAATCAGCTGCAAATTTCCCCCTTTTATTGTAGTATAGATATTCAGCTTTTTGATCGAGTTAATTATTATTATTTTTTTGATAAGTAAGAATTTATTGAAAACGCTCAAAAGGGGAGCGAAGCCCAAAGAAACAAAAGGGCCAAAGGGCGCCTTAGACCTTCAGAGAGGCCAAGAAAACAATAATTTCCTCCATAGATCTATAATCTCTCCCTGAAACCCAACAAAAAAGAGTAGAAATAACATAGAACTTAAGCATAGAAACAGGCTTCTTTTTTCCGTCAAAATAGGCAATTCCCTGTTTTTATTTTATTTTATTTTATTTTATTTTTTAATTAATTAAAGATAATACTGGTGAACATTCTTGTGGATGAATATTTCATTCGAATTTACTCTTACCAGGCTTATGGGCTGCACGGGGAGGACTTGCTTGGTCAACCAATAAATCTAGTGGATGGAATTTCAAATATGTCAAACAATTGCCATGCAACTGGGGTCGCTTGTTCCTGGTAGTTATTTCTGTATGAATGCCTGCGGTGATTCTTTTCTTTGTTGTCTCTGTTTATCAACATGTTCAGACAGAATTAATTGCAACAACTTGTTTATTGAAACTAAACGTTTCCCATTAAATGTTTTGCTTGAAAAATAATAATGGCCTTTTGTTGTAGATCGCATATGTTCATTTTGATCTAGATTTGTGGTATAGATATCACTTAGAATACCCATTTGTTGCCAATGGCTTTTGCTCGTTTTCCTAATTGACTTACTGGTCTTGTAACCATTTTAAAATAATGTAGGTTTCTTCTGATTTTGACATGAGCAGTAATGTCAGATTTCATAGATTGAAGTTCTCCCACCTCTTCCATTGATGTGCTGAGCTTTTTTGGGCATTTCTCAGCATGAAAATTATCCAAGGGTTGCCCATTACCCACTTTTATGGGCGTTGAAGCTAATTTATCCATTATTTTTTTCCGAATTGAGTATTAGATTGGCCTTTGCTGGAAAGTTGATACTTTAAAGCCCCAAGGAGATGGTTGGCCAAGATTGTTAGTGAGGAGTGAAATTCAAATTGGTTCTCTTGTATTAAGAGAGACTCTAGTGACTCGGTCTGCCATCATTATTTGTTCGCATGCTGTGAATGAGCATTGCTGAAAAAGTGTGACAGCTTAATTGAAGAAGTAAACGGTGGCACAGTGATTTACATTTTGGATGTGTGAGCCAAACCTAGTCATGAAATGTGTAATCAGGGACATGCTTACCACATCAAGAACCGAATAATTATAATTATGTGAAGTTACTGCCTTTCTGTAATAACAATCGTCATTATGGCTTATGGATTTTACAGTTTTTACTATGATGGAGAGATTGTTTGCTCCAAGGTGAGAGATTGTTTGTTAATTGAATTGATGGCACTTCTTCTGCTGCTTGAGCTCATGCTCATGCTCATGCTCATGCTCATGCTCATGCTCTTTTGAAGGGCATTGAGAAGATAATATGCATTTTATTTATCTTTTTTAGTCATTTGGACAGGGACATGGTTGGTGATTTAATACTAATCTTGGAGTAGGAAATGTTAAAACATTCCTTACAGATTGAAATATATTCTATGGTTGATCATCATGAACTCATTGCGTGGGAGAGAAGAACTTTGTTGAGTTACATCTGGATTAGTTGATACTTATGTTGAGAGCTTTAGCTACTGTTGTCTTTGGTTGCCCCGGGTGATACTTAAAAATTGACTTGCCGGCTTGTGGGCTTCGAGACCTATTTCTTAAACCGAGGAATCTAGGGGAAGGAGTTTTTATCTATTTGATGAAGTAGATTAGATCAGCACTAGGTTCCATCCATTTCATCAAATGGACGAAAACCCTTCTACTACATTCCTCGGAGTAAGAAATAGATTGAATGACAAATAATTACTGTTTTTGTAATTACCTTCTCTTTTTGCAATAGTTTGTGAAGGTTTCTAAAAGACAAAAGTGGAATAAAATTCGTTTGATGGATTTATAGCATGGACACACGGTTGAAATTTAAGCTATACCAATTTTAAAATCAAGAGAACACCAAAAGAAGATGTTGCGAAAAATGGACTAACCATCATTGTTTTATTGCATTATCTATTCACAATTTATGGGCTTTCTAATGATTAGTGTTGATACAAATTAGAGCATGTCTTGCTAATAATGTGTGGTTAATTAACAATAATTAAAGCAAGGAGGATCTTCCAAAATCATGTTTGCATAACCCAACTCACGTCTTTATCACTATTGAATCAGTCATGCAATTCAATTGTTATCTCCAAAAAAAAAATAATAATAAATAAATAAATAAAGGTTAATGTATTACCATTATAAAGAAAGTATTCGATACAATGGCTCACAACCTCATAGTAGAACATATTGCCAAACAAGAAAGGTGTCAATCAGTGAACGTTGGCATATGTCTTTCATAATAATCATCCAATTAATCTAAACATTCTCCTTTTGAATTTAAATTCTGGTTTTCCTCAACTTGTCATTAATGACTCATTAATAATAGTTATTTATACATGCATATAAATTTTGAATTTTATTGATCAATGTGTGTTTTTAAAAAAATGATAAATATGTTGATTGGTTCAATTATTGATAGAAATACTAGGGCTGCAATTCGGGCAGATTGGACGGATTTAAGGTATTACATGAGCTTAATCTACCATATGAAATGCTAAACCCAAGTCCAACCCAACCCTATCTTCAACCCTAACTACTCAACTTGAGCCCAATCTATTCTTTTACTTTTAAATTCGGGCTTGTAACTCGGGCTTAGATTCCACGTAAAAAATTGGAGTGAATTTGAGTTACTCATATAACTAATTTTCGTACCAAAAATTTAATTTAATCTTGATTAGTTTTAGATTAAATTATTCTCAAACAAAAAATAAATTAATAAATAAAGGCATTTTATAAATTTTGAATAAATTACAAACAAATTTTTAGAAAATTAATTATCTTAAATCTTAACATACAATAAGTTAAGATTTAACAAATGAAGTTGAAAAGAAAAAAAGTAATCGGAGTTTAAATATTATATATAATGTATTTAAAATTAAAAATATATATAAAAATAATATTATAATTCAGGTTCGGGTTTGCTCATGTTGCTAGTACCTCAATCCAAGTCCAACCCTAATTAAATTTGGGTTGAAAATTTTCAACCCAAACCCAACCCCATTTATAAAAATAATTGCCTAAGCTCACAAAAAATCACACGAGCTCGAGTTGGGTAGCTCAACCCAAGTTGCACCCTAAGAAATACCAACACTTTAAAAAATGTCATCTATTAGAATCTTAGAAATAAAATAAATAAATAATCATTGTAGCATTACTCTTGTTTTAAATAAATTTCAATGAAAAATATAGGAGTACTATTTTAAGGTTGTTATATTGTTTTGATATTAGTATTATAGTCATTTTTTTTTCAGTCAATCTTCCTTCACTCTATAGTCCCCAGTACGTAACAGACTGCCTCCGTCTTGAGCTCATCTCATTCCTCTGTATTTTCTTGCTCTGTCACTTCTTCTCTCTCTACTTCCACTGCCTTCTCTTCCTCCTGATCCAGGGTTTTACTAGGCTTTAACCCTTCATCTTCCATTAACTCATCTAATTTCGACAATCTCCGATAAAACTTCCATTTTCCATAGTCCATTCGAGCTTCAATAATTCTCACATAATCGCTATCGAACTGACCTCAAGAATCAATCGCAAAAACCAATAAATCGCTCTTAATAATTCAACTGCTTCTTCTGATGCTTCTTTCGCCATCCAATTCACTTGGTTCTCATTCGAAACGCAACAGTCTAGGGTTTGTTCTCTCCTCTTAAATTAAGAATTTTGCATAGAAGCTATAATTTATCACTGAAACATAGTGATTTTTAAGCATATTTTTTTGGGGGAAAAAATTGCTTTTTCTGTGAATTTTACTTCATGTGAAGGGATGTGAAGTTTTGAATATGAGCAATGGAGGTAGGGAGAAGATATCCGGCGTTGAGGATTTTGCTCAGTCAATTGCAAGAATTGCTGTAGCGCAGGTTTATCAGAGTGTAGGGTTTCATAGTCTTCAGCAATCGGCCCTTCAAACACCGCCATTCGATATATTAATAATATAGGAAAGACTGCAATTCTCGATGCGAATTTGGCTGGGAGGATTGAGTGTAACGTGTTTGATTAAATTCAGGGTTGGAAAATTTGGGATTACAACAGGGATTTTCAGGTGCTTCGGATATAAATTGGCGTCTTGCAGTATCAGTTTGATTTGGGAAATTGTTCAGTGTGCTGAGGATATCCCATTTCAGTATTCAAGTCCCCATTTTCCAATAGTTGAAGTCCCGAAGCCAATGCCGAGCTTTATGCAAGTCGGAGAAGTGTTGCCAGAGGAGCACATACCCGCGTGGTTGCCTGTGTACCCTGATCCCCAGACATATATACACTTGCCATTGCGGACTGAGAGAGAAGTTGAAACCCGGATTGATGAAGTTGAGCTGGTTAAAGAGCATAAGAAAGTGGAATGGTCGTTAATGAATTTTCAGCAGTGGTTGGCTTGTAATGGAGACGATGCTACGTTGCAAAATCGTGCAGTTGTAGAAAATCATGTTCTGGTGTTGGAGATGTCTGCCCCGGCTATCGATGCAGTGAAAAGCAGGTTATGTGATTCTGAAGAGGGCAGGAAAATGGTTCTTTTGAGCAGGAGACCCTCTGTGCAATTTAAGTTTGGTATTGGCAAGAGAAGTCTTTAGTTACACCAATGAGCATGCACCATGAGGGTAATGAGAAAACTGCCTCTTGGTTTGGGAATGACAATGAGAATAATGACAAGAAAAAGAGGGCAGCTCAAATTCTTAAGAAATCTATGGAAAATCCACAAGAACTTGTAAAGTAGGTTTGTTTGATTAGAATTTCTATACTTGCTTAAGCAACTGCCAGCAGGTGCTGGTTCCATTGTTGTCAAGGCCAAGGGACGTAGACTTATCTATGTCTGTGCAGTAGAGACTGCTAGAGAGTTTCCACTTCAACGAGTTTGCAAGGTATGTCCTTGTCAGTTACATAATATTATTTTGCAAAAAAGAAAAAGAATTATAAGTTTAAAATTATTGAAAAATTGTTCAAGTTTATAATTGTTTTTGTTATACCACAATTTATCATATTGATAACAACTATACAATTGTTTACTTATCACAACCTACACACAATTTGCATCAACATCTCATTTTACATTATATATATATATATGTATATATTTTTGTATATTTATGCTTTTAATATTTTTGTGGTCAGCTCCCAAATTCTTGTGTATGTCAAACGTCCTGTAAGGCTGTAACATGAGCACGCTATATTCTTCAATTAGATTTTGCAGGTTTGTGGTCACTTCCCAAATGCTTCTTTATTTTTTGATATTCTAAAATTTTCAATTATTCAAGTATTCATCTGAGAGGAATGCCTTGAAATTTGTTGTAATAAATGATTGGTTCCAAGCTGAACCTACTACCTGGTGTTTCTTAAGGGTTTCTGTAATACTCAACGCTGCGTAGAATTAGCAGAGTTGTTGTTGTTGTTGTTGTGTTATCCTTCTTGTTTTGGGATTGGGGGAATGGTTCGAAAGAGGGTTTTTATTTATTTATTTATTTATTTTTTGTTGTGTGTGTGTGTGTGTTCACTTTAATGCAGGCCCCATGAAATGGAGGTTATATTGTTATTAGTATGCACCATCAGAAATGTGAAGGTACAAATGTAGTAGCACTGCAAGATACGTTGTAGATTATTTGGACTATGATGGCAAAGTTTGGGGTTAGCAAGGTGAAAGTAAACTGTAAAAGTACTGCATGTCTGTGTGCACCGTTGCACACGTTCTTCAAAATATAAATGCATGTTTTCAGCCTTTTGGGGGATATATGAACTTTTTTCTTTTCTATGTTGTATCACTTAAAAAAAAAAAAAAAAAAAATTGGTTCAGTATTCTTTGGATTCTTGCATTGTGTTCCTTATTATTTGTCCATAGCTTGATTGTGAAAAACAAAAGAAAGCATAGGGTTCTTTTATATGGGCTGACTGTAAGATGTGTTTTATAGACCCCAGAAGAGATTCTCTTTACAAGCTAAGAAAGTGATGCTATTCCCATCAATTATTTATTTTGCTTTCACACCCAAAATAGAAGTTAAAAAATAAGAAATTACGGAGGAGGGAAAGAGAGTACTAGAATGCTATTTGGAAAAGAGTTGCCTGCAATGCCTCATACCAGCCATGTCGCCACTGACAACCTCAGTGATCAAGTCTTTAAATATAAGGCGCTCGATGGCTAATGCAAACCCTGGAACGTCACCACGGTAATCTTCCCAATTTTCAGATTGATGCATCATATCTCCGCTTAAAATGCTTATCAGATAGTCATCCTCACTGTATGCTTGGAGCTGATCTATTTCTGAACACAATTCTTTCAGAAGCTTTTGTCCACTGGGAATTCTTCCTTTCAGCTTATTTGGAGAGATCCATACCTCAGAAGGAGCTGGAGGAGTTAATTTTTGGACAAGAAGCTCATTGACTGTGTCGAACACAAGTTTTCTTTGGATCTTATCATTAGATTTTGTCCAGGTATTCTTTTCATTGCTGTGTTCATCATTTGGAAGCTCAGTGCTTCCCCTGGTTTGTTCCAGGACAAGGAACAAGTCTGGGTTGATCAAATGGCTTGATGGGCGGAACAGAGTGATTGTCAAGCTAGAGCCCAGATCTTTGAGGAGGAGGCCTGATGCTAACAGTATCTCAGTAATGTATTTATGGTCTGGATTTGTGTTCTCACAAATAGATGCAATATAATCTATGGTGGCTTCGTCATGAGTGGAGTTCAATCGTTCAAGCTTATGAACCAAGTGCTTGACATCCTCTAATTTTTTATGGCCGAATTCAGAGCTGAAATTGGGTCTTGTGCTGTTCACCAAGTGATCAAGATCCACTGCAATCCATTCTGCTTCATAGGGATATAGGTTCACATCATCTGTGGAAAAATATGAGAATGGGGACAAGAAAAAAGAGTGTTTTACTATTCTGTTTGTTGCATAGATAAAGGTAAAGAAAGATATATGCATGTCCCCGATATATGGAAATGAATATGCTTGTATATATACATTATTCTAATTATATTAACTCCTCTGCTTCTTCTATGTCTAATACTCACTCATCTGATCTGAAGTTCTAGTATTCCCTTCATGGTTTTTGAACATGGTCTGATTTTTTTGATGAATTTTATGTAAACATTTGCCCAAATATTGGGAAAAGGCTTTGTTGAGTTTAATTTATGTAAACATTTGATTTCTCCCAACAATTATACTTCTGTTCCATACTGAAAATACTGAAAATTCATATCTTAGCATCAAAAATTACTTTGTCACTTGTTAGTGATGATTGTCTAAGAAGTGTAAGCCACATCCCTAGAGTTAAATTTTTTATAAACGTCCAAGATGTGTCAAATGCATATTCAAGAATATTCTTAGAAGTGTCATTGTCTGGCATTTGTTCGGCACAATTATGGCTAAGCGTCGGTGCTTCTTACAGTGTATTATATGCTTGTGTTTGTATAGCATATGTTCCTTTGTTCATCTCTACTCACCATGCAGTGTACTATACATGTTATGTTAGATATGGACACTATTACCTATCACCAAAAAAAAGGAGATGGATACTGTTGTACCCTCTAGCGCAGAAAAATGACCATTTCAAGTTTTAACATGCTACATGTAAGGCGGATGTTACACAAGAACCTCACCTTTAAAAGCATTTGATGTCTTCTTTACAGGAGATGGCGAGTCTTCTCTGTAGAATGTAGCATCAAGAACAGATACAGGACTTGGTTGTTCCAAGTTAGCTGTTGCAAGTTCAGCCACTGATTTGTCTTCTCTCAACTTTGCTGCTAGATTCTGAATGGGAAAGATGAAACCTGATTAACCAGTTGATTACAATGATAATATGTACGGACAAAGATTAGAACACTTACTTTATATTTCTTGTCCCTCTGCTCGGATGTCCCATTTATTTCATTGGAATGGTCTGTGCTTGTGACTTCTGTGTCAATCTGTGTGGCCAGGATAATGTTGCTTTCTGATTGCACAGAAACTGTATCACCTTGGTGACACAAGTTCCTCATGTCAGTAGTGATCTCACTCAACTGGTCATCACTTTGCTGCAGACAAGGAGATTTAAATTTGAGCTTTCTACTTGGAGAGCCTGATTCTATTGGTGGTTTACTTGATTGCCTTCTGGCCCTGTTGGAATCAGATGGTGGTGTAGAAGGACAAGATAGCTTCTCCTTCCCTTGCTTCTTCTGCTGCTGTCTTGGACTCTCAGTTCCTGAGCTCCTTCCGGAGCTGGTGGGATTTCCTTCCATCATATTCATATGTTGAATTGCCTCTGAAGTACGCATTGATCTTGAAGTTCTGGGGCTGGTAGTCTTATTCATGGAACACATGGGTTGACTAGAAGGGTCTCTCAGATGATTGTTTCTCAGAGGTGGATCTTTAGCTGTTTGCTTGTCATTTAAAATGTTTCTGCTGTCTGCAGTTTCAGCAATCCGGAGTTTGCGGAGACCTGATGGTCTGTCAATTGGAATTGCATACGAACCTATACTTCTTGGTTTTTCAGCAAGTCTGGCTGGTTTTATGATTGCAATTGAGGATTCAAATCTCTTTGGAGGACTGGTCCCCCTGATGGCGGCAGAAATTGGATGGTTACTTTGCTGGCTCCTCTGGGTTGTTATAGAACTCTGATCAAGGCTGTTGTTGCTGGTTTGAGGCACAAAACTTGAAGTAGGCTCTTCTTTTTCTCTCTCTCGCCTCTCCCTAGTCTTTTGCATTGCTTCAAGTATCTGTTTAAGAGCTCTTAGATCCTTGCCAGATTTCTTGAACTCAAGTCCAGTAAACCTTTTTTCAATTTCACCATACACAGATGATGGATTGGGGACCTTTACAGGAGCTTCAAAATACATGAAAGCTGGCTTCTGAGAGCCTCGGTTTCCTTCTGGCTGCCTCCATGGAGCTGGTTCTAGTGGAAACCTTGAGGTTGGTTTCAAGACTGAATTGCCATTTCTCGATAGGGGTGAGGCAGGGTTCCTCTGCAGAACCCTTGGGGACCCAGATACTTGACTCTGCTTCCCTTCATTGGCCATTTTTGAGGATCTTGAATTTGTTTCGAAATTTTCACCCGGGCTGGATTTAGTTTCCCTTATCTGACCCTCATTAGTTGACTTGGAATCTGAAAAAGCTTCCAATCCCATCAACTTCACTACAATACTAGATTGTCTTTCATTACTTCCTGGCTCTTGATGTGGGTTCAGGGATTTATTGGGGGTCCAATTTCCTGGCTGTATATCTCCTAAAAGAGAATTTGATCTTGATTCAGAAGCAGGGCTCCTTACTGAACCTGCTTTACTGTCCAATGATAGCCTTGGGAGCTCTTTGAGCCTTATGTTGGATTTCAGTGTATCTCGTGACTCCCTTCCATCGCAAGAGAACCGACGTGCAACCTTTGGTGTCGATGACAGAGAACCATCCTTTTCCTTGCTGGGATTCCGAGGTGCTTCCCCAAGCTTAGCAAGAACTCGAAACGATCCATCCGGACTGGAAACTTTAGCCTTTACGGATTTGCACAGCTGTGATGGCCTTGGAGAATCTACATGCTTCATGACATGGCTCACTCCTTCCTCTTTACTTGCAGTTTTGACCGATAACCCACGGGCTTCTCTGTTGATGGAGTCCTTGACAATGTCGCGGAGATCGGAAGACTGCCGACCAGCGTGCAAAGAAGAATTTGGTGGTTTGATGGTTATATTTTGAGATGGGGTTTCAGGGGAAATGCTCTGGCCAGAGGAGGATGGTTCTGGATGAGTTGTTCTGTTACAATCAACGGACGAAAAGGTTGATGAGCAAGAGGTGGATGAAAAAGAGGTGCTAGATGATTCAGCAGGGGCTCTTTGTTTCTCTTTCACAACATCCAAGCTTTTCTCCTGCAGTTTTGAAGTGACATGTACTTAATTACTTCTGCTCAAGATTATTCTATGGTCAAACAATCAAGTTTCAAATCTTACCATGGCTTTTTCTGTTGTACTGTTGGGCTCCATTCCATCTTTGGCATCTTGACCTACAGCAATCTTGAAATGTTATTTGTTGAAACTAGCAAAATGCTAATAGGTTTACATACTCAAGCTTGTCATAATCATTCAACGTGGATAAACAGAGTCCTAGCTAGAATTTTCAAAAGAATTGGGGATAACCTATTGCATTTGTCATTTCATAGTGTCATAGCAGAATCTTAACCTCTAAGCATCAGTTTCTAGCTTTTGTTCTGCCATTTAATCAACTCCATCTGAGCCTTTACCCTTTATTATGAAGATTTTTAGGCTGAGTACAGGTAATTTTTGTATCAACACTATGGTACAGAAAATATGTTGATAATTGATTTATATTCATTTATCAGGATACCATCAAGATCTTAGTTAACAATTCTAGAGGAAGGAAAAATATTGAAACCAGCACAATTAGAATTTTTTCATGCTTTATCCATTGAAATTTAAATGTAAACAGAAAGCAGAAGAAATTATGAAGTAAAATTTTCTTATATACCCAGATGAGGATCCACACATTGAAGAAAGGTAGCTTAAATAGAAGATTAATCCATGGCGGATGGAAATGGAATTACCTGGTGGCAGCGTCTTGTGATTTCGACCACCGACCCCGCGTCGCCCGGCGAGAAAATGGTGAAAGAGTCCATTCATGCACCCAATTGGCTTCTGCGCATTTGGGTTTTCGTCTGTCAAAGAATTCAGAAGCTTTGCAGACATCTTCACCTCGTCTCTTCAAATCCCAGGTACTGAGAATGTTAAAAACTCTCTGAGCTTTCTATTTCTCTCTCCCTTGACTCTTTAAGAATTTATAGGAATAAGAGTATTCCAAGCAACTTACAAAGAGAGTTTCAGCTTTCACTATGTTGAGATATTTTTAGAACATAACATTTCATGTAATGACAAAACTTGCATCAACAACTACACCAGAGCTTCAGCTTTCTTTGGGCCACAACTTTCCAGCTAATTACATGTGAAAAAATACAGTGCATTATGATTATGCTTCTTCAAACAACTTCTTTATTAGCTGCAGTTGAACAGAGATTTCGAGTTTCTTTTGCTTTTGGGGTTTCTAGAGAATTGTGTGACTGACAAAAGGGGATGAAAGAGTAGGCATAAAGAGAGACAGAGGAGCTGCAGAACCACAAATCATTTATATGATGAGCATTGAAATAGAAGAATGAAGTTTGTAAGCAGACATTGACAATATCTACTGTGAAGCCCAAAGAAGTTAAAAAAAAAAAGAAATGGAACCCTAAGTATCTCTCACCTTGTATGCTTTAAAATGACTATCAATGTGAACTATTGGGAAGTTTTTGCAGACACAAGAAGAAATGTTTTTCTTTTTGGGGGGGTTCCTCCCATAACTAAAAAGAACAAGTTTATGCTATGCTGTCTGTTGTTTCTCTCAAGGAAAGCCAGCTAGCCAGAGGCTAGAATTTGGAGGGGATGTGGTGTAAATACATGAAGAGAGTGTGTTATTTTAATTTTGGAGAGAGGGAGAGAGGTGGATGTGGAATGTGTGGGTCAGATCTGGTGTGAATGTGTGGGTCAGATCTCACTGGTCATTTTCTTTCTACTTCCATGGGACAAAATAATGTGGGTGGGTTGGAGTCTGGAGCTCACACTCAGCATGCATGTGGAGCCTGTCATAGAGTGGAGAGTGGAGGAATAAGATAGTGGGATTTATGTACTGGCAACCCTGCAGAAATTAAAGCTCTTTTTCAACCATTCTGATGCCCAATTTACCAAAATACCCCTTCATAGATTCCATCTTTTGACCTTTTAATGGAGAAAACATTGCATTGCAATTTCAGTTCACTGAATGTTGCAATAGCCTATCCTCCCGAAGGGAGATATTTGATTGTGACGTCTCATATCGCTTGGCACAATTTTTCGCATATATATTTGCATAAAGCGTTGCTCTTGTATTCAGTTCCATTTGAATTCATGTTCTTGTCCATTACCATTACACAATTTTTTTACCAACATGGCAATATATGATGAATTTTGTCTTTGTTGAACTTGTTGCCTTTCCTTCTTGTGACTAGTGATGCATTATTGGGTGAATGCTAGCTCCTTCTCATGTACATTGGTATCACATTCTGTCCGATTTAGTTTGGGTGTCTGAAGCTTCTGAATGCAGACATTTACTTCCCTGCTGTTAGGCTTTTAATGCTTTCTATTATTGAGGTTGCAGAAACCCTGAATTGCTTGTTCAAGAACTCCCTTTTTCAAGTATCTACAATAAATTATGTCAAGATGAATCATCTATATAGACAATGATCATATTTTTTTTTTTTTTTTTTTTTTTTTTTTTGTACATCTAGTGTTTACCACATTTATGGTTTAAAAGTCATGTTGTAACTTGAAATGATGTCAATCTATATATTGAAACAGTGATCAGATTTTTGTGCATCTATGGTGTTTACCGTATATTTGGCTTAAAAGTCCCAAATGCCCTTAATAATCAGTGTTTTATGAAATCAAAATTTTTTTTTTTTTTTTTTTTCTTAAGGGCATAAAAGGTATTTCAACCTTCAATTTGACAAAATGTTCTTATTTCCTCAATTGAAAAATGTGAAGAAGTTTTTTGAACATGGAAGATATTTATACTTTTCGCATAGAGGGTTGTTTTTTTGCACTTTATCTTCTAAAATAGGTGTCATCCTTTTCATTTTTATTTGTTCCAAAATAAGTGTTTCGTTTGATTATTTTTTTATAATATTACCAATTTAACTTTCTTATAAAAAATAAATTATCACATCACTCTGGACCCACTAGAAATAAGTTTAGTAATTCATTTAGTACTAATATAATAAAATAATAATAATAATCATTATTTTAAAACTTTTGATTTAAAAAAAAATACTTATTTGGGACCAAAGGAGCCCATTATAAGATTCATAACTTGCACACTGTCTTCATTTTCGGACTTATTTTTTATAAAAAAAATGATTTTTTTACCATGTAATTGAACCCCATCCGCCAGTCAAAGGTCATTACTAATGATGGGTAACCACATGCTGATATATTTCTGAACTACCATAATATATACACACAGTACACACACACACAAAATGCCACATCTTTGATTTGGACAAGCATGGTTCTCAGCATTGTACATTTGAGCAGAGTGGTCCAATGTATAGTTTAACTCAAATTAATGGTGAATATGTCGTATAGAAGCACTGGACTGCCAAGGGCTTCCCAACTTGTCCAAAAGGACTTCCTTTATAGGGGGCTAGCTACCTAAGCCTCTATAGGATAGAGAGTGTACATCATTTCTAGTACAAAGTCTTTGGTTGTTTTGTCACATTTTGTGATCTTGTAATTGTATGGAAAATTTTCAAGATGAAGACACGAGAAAAAAAGAATACAAGTTGCAACTGTAGATTAATGTTCACAGCTTGGATAGCATGGTTGTCGGAAATAAGGGATTCTTTTTTTTTTAGGTATTCGGGATATTTGGGACTATGCCCTGGGACACCGTGTGAGGCGCCCCTCGGGTTGATTCACAGCTAAATTTTTCTTCTTCTTTTTTTTTTTTTTTTCTCAGAAAATTGATCCAAAATGGCACTTGTATTATGTAAAGCAGTCAAGTTTTTGTTCATGAATTTTTGGGTTTTATTTTTAAATTTTTTAAATTATTTTTATTTTTATACTATATATTGGTATTAGAGTTTCATTTTATGGTGCTGAATTTGAAGGGGCTCTAAGCTGTGCTTGGACAACTTTTAAATAGAAAAATAAAGAAGATAAAGGGAAAACAGCTGTTTGGATTTGCTTTATCTACAGACACATGGTTTCCCATCACATTTGCCATTGTCAAAAATTGCTTGTCCCTTGTCACAAGTTTGTACTTTGTGGGTCACCATTTTTTACTTCTCTTACATGATATATGTATGACTCTAACTTAGGAAACAAATGTATTATTACAAACCGGATTGTCTCCTAATAATCTCCATTAACGGCTAAATAGGTAGTTAATTGCTGTTATTAGGTTTGAATTTTGGTCCTGGGCTTTCCTCAGTTGGGCCTCCATTTAGGCTTTGTTACCATTTGAGTTGTATTCGGCCAAATGGCCCATACTGTAATTATCCTTTATTATTTATATATATTTGCTTAAAATTCCAAAAAAAAAAAAAAAATGTATTATTACTTCCTTCTGCCCCAAAATTAAATATATCATTTTATTGGGGTGTTGTGTGTGTGTGTGTGTGTGTGTGAGAGAGAGAGAGAGAGAGAGAGAGTGTGTGTGTGTGTGTTATGTTTGTTCTTTCTTTTTGATAATATTAAAGTAGGGTCAAGCAGGTTGTACATGAAATAGGAATTAAGATATGTATTGTTTTATAACCAAAATAATGGTAAAAGAATCATATATGTAGGATTGTCCTATGTATATATTAATCACAATCAGTGATTCATTACCTGCAGATTTGGACCCTACCTTAGCATTGTTTAATATAATGGACCCCTCATCTAAATTTTTATTGCCATTAAGAGTCAATAATCAGTTAGGAAAAAAAAAAAAATCAAGAGTACCATTTTGTATTCTTGCCATTTTATGGTTAAATTGTTTTTCATCCAGGTGTCATAGCACAATTATTTGTTCATATTAGTGTAGTATTTTGAGGCATTAAGATGACTTTAATTTTGTCTTACTGTTACTTTTTGAAACATTTTGATATGCTTAACAGCTCGAGATCTCCAATTTGATTTTAGTTGAAACAGGCCATTCAACAAAATCTGACACCATTATACCGTTATTATCATTCTGCACAATGAAAACACATTTCTTGTTAGTTAATGTCAAATCGAAATAAATAAATAGTGACTATATATATATATATATATATAAACTTTCTAAATAAGCAATATATGTGACTTTATGAAATTGACGCGATGTCAAAAGATCAAGAAAGTTGGTGACATGAGTAACGAGAATGTGATGTTTTGGCCTAAACTTTATTTATACCCGGGTTGCAACTTTAATCTGAAAAATAGGCTTTGTGTGGGTCCAAACCCATCAATTCTTTTTGTGGGTTTATGGACCTGATTGCAAAACTAGGTGTAAACTAAGTGTATAATGGCGTTTAGGGTTTCAAGGGTGCAAGAAAATAACATTATTGATAGCTATAGTTGCAGAGTTTTAGAGAGATGCAAGGTTTAAAGGCTGAAATCTTTCAACCTGCTCTTAGACGTTGGCTCTACGCCAAACCATGTGTTCTTTGTACGCAGTCGGCCCGTTTATATTTCTGTTGATTTCCTGATTGTGTTTTTAGTTTACTATATTTGTCACAATAAGGAAGTTGATGATTGAAGCCCGATGAACAACCACCGTAACTAAAATGATTTTAAGGCGGTGAAATTCCTTGTCAGGTAAGTTCCGATCTGCAAGAAGTATTCGAATTTAAATATAGATTGCTAATGCAACACACTACATTATAGTGCAATATATATATATATTGTTGCATTAGCTATGTAATGACATAGACGAGAGCACATGATGGAGTCATGGTTTGCCATATCGACCAATATGCGACCAAGGGCAAATCCAGGAATTGTCAATGGGGTGGACTAAGTTAATAGTAGTAATAAATATTTTTTTTTGGGCTGGGCTAAAATTAGGTATAGTGGGTCCTGGATCCGCTAGTGTATTCGTAATCCTTTTTCAAGTGTTTGATATCGTTACACATCTTTATGAACTAGTTGGTTTATACTGAGATTCGCCCGAATTCATTAGACCGCAATCGCAAGCGAGACCGCGACTGCGAACCACGGATAGAGTGACTCGGGAGGGTAAGGATATATATATATATATATATATATATATATATATATAAGAGTATTAATAATGAGGAGATGATGTATGATGCAGGGGAAGTTATGTATGTCTGAAGATACGTACATTCGTATATATATTCACTTATTTAGCTCGTACAAATAATATACTAAAAATGGTGGGGGTGGGGGGTTGATGGTGATTGTTGAGATGGAGATTAAACAGAGATGGGATTAATGGGCATGTGGATAAAGTGAAGAGGTCACATGAGGGATGCCTTACTTTGATACGGCAAGGGACCAACAAAAAGTTATACCCATGAGTCCTAAACTATGTTCCAACAAACCCATCACCCCACCACGGTCACCACCCCCACCAAATATCACCACCATGTGCATCAACGCATGTAATGTGCTAGTGTTTTGTTTAAGTCTTATCCTTTTTGCTTATGTAATCATCATATCATACAATTATATATTGTGATATATATGTGTGTGTATTCACATTGTATGATGAATTTCAAAAAGGGACCAAGATTGTGTGATCATCAAACAAGGGATGGTTACTTCCATGGTAGAGGTTTATTAGATGTTGGGGTAAGTCAAGATTCCATCTTATCCTTTTCCATCACATGTGTGAGAGAGTGCATTTCTCATAGATCTAAGCTTGGGGTTTAAGAAAACCAACTTTTGAAAGAACGTATATTGGCTCCAGAACACACATAGCATTCAA